ATAAGGCACTGATAATTCCTATCTCCGTATTCATATTTATTGTATTATATTCATATTATTGAAATTGCAAACAACATTTTTGAGTAATGTCATTTTATTGATGTTTCTAGTTGAAAAAGTTATGTATACAGTGAGTAAGTTGATTGCAGAGTTGGTGAATGGGGTGTTGGAATATAGAACTGTGAATAAAGGTTCTGCCTATTTTGCCACTAGAAACATCACTACAATTAATAATAAAGAATGTTGAAATTGAAGGTAGTCATTCTGTCAACCGAAAGGCTCATATATGCCTACAGAGGTTTGAAAGTATATCTGAATATTTAACATATACATGACTATGGTTCGTAGAACTATTATTAGTGTTGCCCAAAATCGGTCTTGGTCTTGCAAAATCACCACGTATCTGTTCCAAGACCAAGACCAAAAGTGTTTTAAAAAAATCAATATTTTGAGGCAAAGTAGTTACTAATTAATGTTAGTAACAATATGTAAAGATGTGGTGTAACCAATTTACTTTTGCATTTAAATCTTCTAATTTCATTCAGACTTAGTTAAGTTTCTCATATCTAAAATAATACACTAATATCTCTCCAGTAGTAAGCTGCAAGACTGTTACGAGAGTCTTGTGCAAGACCAAGACTGAATTTGCAAGACCAAAAGTAGTCTCGGTCTCGCATTTGGGCAACACTAACTATTAGTTATTAAGCTGTTATTTTCCATTGCCTTGTCATTGATAGGTGAAAAGTTGTCTCACTAATTGTATGTGGATAATGTTGGGATGTCACAAAGGGAAAATTCATCAAATTATTCACTAATTTAATTTTCTAAAAGGTTACTTGATGATTTTTTGGAATAAACGGCCGATAGATACCTAATTATTTAAATATAATATCTTATCTAGAGTTAATACTCTATAGTAAATATATTTGAGGATATAAACATACCCATGAAATAGTATGTTGAGACCCTGGGAGTCTTGAGAGGCGTCGTCCTTGGGGTAAATCGCTTCGACGAAGAAATTAGCGGTCTCTTCCTAAGTGGTAGCATGGACATCTTCATGGCTCAATTTTTTGTAGCGAGGTCAACTTTCCCAGAGCCATCTTGTACAGAATACCACATGGATTCTTTGAAGATTCTTCGACGATAAAATCGTCCCAAGACTTTCGGTTTCGCGAACGAACCTCATTTCGCTTTACTCTGCTCATGAACTTGTACTCACTCCAAAGTGTAGTGCTCCTCTCGTTGCATCTGCACCTCTGATACGACCGGCCGGCCTTGTAGAGGTCTCTCTTCATAGCTGTTAACGCTGGCATCCACCACGGGACAGATCGAGTCCTACTTCCGGTGCTAGAGAGAGGTCTCAGCGGTATCACGGATGGTATCGGAATCCTTGACACTCTGTAGTCTTGGTTGTCGGTGTTTTCTGAATCCGCAACTTCCCAGTCTTCGTCGACTATTTCACTCTCCAGCATGCACCGAAAGACATTCCATTCATTTCTTCTGGTCATATAACCGTTTTTGTTGCCATAGGAACATCCTGGATCATCTACCAGGCCAAATGCAATCGTATTGTGGTCCGAACTCGTCTCTGATCTGAGTGTGCAATGTATCTAGATAGCGGTGGTGTGACCAGAGTGATATCTATCCAGCTCTGCTTTCTACCTCCAGAGAAGGTAGATGTAGCAGACGGATCGTTTGTCACCATCAATTGGTTTATAGCAATAAATTCACCCAGCTTGACGCTTCTCCTGTTTGTTCGATTGGACCCCCAGTCCGTGTTCCAGGAGTTGGTATCTGAGCACACGATCACATTTCTTGTACATTGTGAGATTGTTATCATGGCAGATATATACTCTTCAACATCCCTTCTACCGTACATGTACGCAGATATTAGTGTGAAAGCAATTCTGCTCCACCTGATGTAACATTCCGCTTGGTCCGCCATGGTATACTGTCTCAGTTTCATCACGTCAAGATTGGGCTTATTAATAAATATAGCAGCCCTGGGTATCCTCTCTCCATTGCTCAAGGTTATGACTCTTTACATGAGGCCAAACTTCGACTTTGTACTACAGCAAAATCAATCGACTCAAAAATTCCTTCTGAAGGTTTAATTATTAACTCGTTGTTTACGTTCCCAGAAGAGCACGCTTTAGTCGGAGGATTGTGGTTTTGTATTTTTACAGTTGGAAGCCCCTCGATAATTTTTGGAAGAGATCGTTCAAAAAGAATGCCCGTGATTTTCCCAAACACGCTAGGAGATGATAGTGTCTGCTTGTCAACTCGTTCAATTAGTGTTTGCTGTTCTTTCAATCTATCGATGACGGTTTCCCTGATATCGATAAGGTGACTTACTTTACCGTTTATGTCTTTTTGCGTTTTGAAATTTAATCTGTTATTCACGTTGGTAAGGTAAACTCTTAGATTTTCTTGAATGGACTTCGCCTCTACCAACAACAACGGGTATGTTTTCCCCTCATTTTGGTCTGTTATGTCAGGCGATCCATTCCTGGCTCTCTTGGCCGCAGGCCTTAATCTTTTAGGTTTTTCCTTAACTTCTACTCTTCTTCCATCTCTATTGCACCAAATCCATAGTGAAAAGTGTTTTAACACTAATTACTGCAGTGATAACAGTTCTAACCTATGTTATCTGATTATTATTTCGATTTTAATTCAAATCAACTTGGAAGGCATTTGACATCAGCGGTACACATTTCTTCGTATATACAATATGATATAATCTAAGTTAATAAGTTCAAAAAGCCACCAGAATACCCATCCGCTTACCGTCCTATCTCTCTTTTACCCATCATGGGCAAAATCCTGGAGAAGCTCATATTATCATCCACATAATCCCTGATCACCAATTTGGATTCCCCACATCCCCTCCCACTATCCAGCAATGTCATCGTGTGGTAGACGTTGTCTCCTCTGCATTGGAGCGCGGAATGTATTGCACTGGAGTTTTTCTCGACGGTGAACAGGCGTTTGATCGAGTCTACCATCCGGGATTGCTTTACAAACTCCGTAAATTTCTTCCACCTACATATGTTCTTATCATCAGTTCCTATCTTACTGATAGACACTTCAAAGTAAATCACAATAATACCTATTCATTCCTCTTTTCTCAATCTGCTTGAGGTCCTCAAGGTAGTATCCTTGGTCCTATCCTTTACACAGTTTATACAGCTGATATCCCAACCCATCCTAACACTGTCATCACCACCTATGCCGATGACAAGTGTATCCTATCACTTAATAACGATCCATCTATTGCATCCCAAACTCTTCAATCACACATCACAAACCTTGAAGAATGGTGTCAAAACTGGAGGATTAAAATAAATTCCAATAAATCCCATCAAATCATCTTTACCCTTCGTCGTAAACCAACGACTTGCTGCCCTATAGTATCCTTTAATAACACCCCACTTATCCCTGTAGAACAAATCCTATACCTAAGACTCCAGCTGGACAAACGTCTCACTTGGAATCCTCATACAAGACTGAAACGACAAGAAACTGTTCGACGTTTCCGCTTACTCCAACACATACTGGACAAACGCTCTAAACTTCCAATTAATTACAAACGAATCATATACATGACTATAATAAGACCTATTTGGACTTTTGGAGTTGAGCTATGGAGCTCCACTAAACCATCAAATTCCTCTCGTATCCAATCTTTCCTATCCAAAATACTTCGTAAAATCCTCAATGCTCCTTACTTTGTCACAAATAAAACAATCCATAAAAATCTCAATGTTACATATGTTTCCGATTTGGCCAAATCCAGATACCTATCCTTCCATAATAAACTTCATGACCATCCGAATCCTCTTGTTTCTAACCTTGCTTCCTCTTCGATTCCTGATAACCCTGATAACCGAGGCGTCTGAAAAGAAGATGGCCCGTGATCTCCTCATGTAGACAAATTATTAGAGTGCTACCAATGGGTAGTTTCTAAACAAGCGTGTTTCATGTGATTATATTCCTCTGTACACATTTACTTTATGTATTCATACTAATACAGTTGTAAATATCATAATAAAAGTTAAAAAAAAAAAGTTAATAAGTTAGGAGAGCGTCTGTGGCTCTAGTGCCCTCTTTCAGTCTCCACTGGCTTCTAATACTAGTGATGCGGCTGGAAAAGTGGCACTGGGATCTCCTGGAGACTTGCTTTGCCTTCCACATGTGGGGGAAAAAGCCTGGCTCGGAGATTCCTGGGCGAATGTATATATTGTATATAGGTATGATTGTGTTTAGAAGTTTCTATTTTATGTTATTGTTTACTATTTTTTTCTTTTATTTACTTTCTTCATCAGTATTATTTATTTTTTTTTTATATTTATATTTATTTCTTTATTATTTGTATATATTGTTTGAATGAGAACTCTTAGCCCTAATACTTATAGCCCTCCAGCAGTGGCTGATTGTATTATTATTCAATAAATAGATTAAAAAAAAAAAAGTTAGGAAAAGATAATGAGGAAGTATGTAGAGTGTACAAATTTACGGAGTTTGTAAAGTAGTCCCCGGTGCCGGACTCGTTTTTATTTTCTATCTTTACCTTTAAGTCTGGTAGAAGCTATTAATTAAGGATAAAATGAAAAAAAATTGTTTTGTGGGATATCTTTTCACCAAATAACCAACTTTCGCAAAATAGTCTAAGAGTGTTTCTCCTGTGTCTTTCTGTGTTTCTGTCTATGTTTATGTCTGCGCCTTTCTGTGTCTTGTGTCTGTGTCTGCGTCTGCCTGAACAGCTTAGCTGAAAAACGATCAATTTATGTTATGAAACTTTACTTATTTAATTTACTTTTACTTATTTATTAACTTTAACTTATTTAAACATGAACTACTCACCTGAGTCAGGGATGTTTCTATTATTGTTTAGTGTTAGTTTAATTTAACTAATTAAATTGTGTAATTAAAATAGGTGTGATACGTGCATCTCATCAGACTTTTTTTCTGAATTACTTAGTAGTAAGGAATAAAAAAAGAAAATACTATTAGTTCTCAAGTAAAATGTATTTGATAAAACTTAGAACATTATAGAATTTATCATATAAATTATAACATTATAAATATTAAATAATTTTTATAAATTATTTAAATATAGCTATTACGTAATTTTATTATATTGTTTAAAATTATAGTAACTTACTATTTAACAATATCATTTATATATAAATTTATATCAAGGGTTGGTCCATATTGTAAATTCAAGGAAAATATATATCTAACAGCTTTAATACATTTTCTTATAGTTTATAAATGGGACATGCGCTTATACAAATATTTCTATATGTTTATAACAAATTAAATCTAAAAGCTCTTAACACAAAAAGAAACACTTAAGAATTTCACATCAGATCATCACTGCATGTAAAATGGTGTTCTTTTTATTCGATTTATTAAAAAACAAAATTACATTTATAAAAAATAAGTATTTAATAAAAAATTGTACCAAGTAAAGATGTTCTTAACAAAAATCCAAAAACAGACAAAATACTTTGGTCCACAATTGTTACGATTGTAAAGAGACAACTCCTTGATTATTTATAAAATCTTATTGTCTTTTATGAAAAATGGTGTTAAATATTGTCGTGTCATAGGAATTCCAACTGTCAGATAATCTACCATTAAAACAGGGTTTAAATACATCAACAATGGCTGAGTATAATATTGTTGAAAATTATTTGCTTTGAACGAGGTTTAGGAATTCTTCTCTGGTTTTCGGGTCATCTCGGAAGACGCCAAGCATAGTAGATGTCATGGTCTTGCTGTTGATTTTTTGTACTCCTCTCATCACCATACACATGTGCCTGAACGAAAAAAAATATAAATAACAATCGTGTTTATTATTATTATTTTCAGTCAATGTAATAATTCCTGTTTTTTTAAGTTATATGGATCATTAGTTGAAACGTAGCAGGAACAAGAGAAATATTAAGGCGTAAGTTTAGTTTTATTGTAGTAAAACTAATCACTAGCCGATCCAGGATTTAATTTTGGAGGAGCTTCATCCTGAAACCTTTTATATATATATATATATATATATATATATATATATATATATATATATATATATATAAAACGATTATGACTTTGGAAGGAAAAAAAATATCTTAACTATCTTTATGAAATAGGATTTAAGTGGTTCTTGAAGTCCGATTAAATGTAATTACACGAATCTAAATTGCAACAGATATCTCCTCACCATCTTGGTTTCGAACTTGATATATTTATTATTTTTATTTTCTCGACTGTTAATTAATAAATGCTTTCCAAGAGTCTTGAGGTTCAGGCAATTTATATACCACTAACCATATTTTGGTGATGCCTCGAATCTTTTAGCGATTTTTTTTTTTTAAATAATGTGTTTGTCCCGAACCGCCAGGCAATATCTCAGTAACTGAAGTATAATATAATTATTTGTTCATTATTTTAGTAATTACAAATTATTTTCTTCTTAAAAATTATTTATTTCATTTTACTGTGTCATTTAGAAGTTATCGTTGAAGTACTTCTACAAATCTATTTTATATAAAAATCCGGTCAGTTAGTATATATGGTTATTTTTCCTTAGTTTGAAAATTTTATTTAATTGGATTTTTTATCTCATCAAAGAGTATGGACTTCATAAGTCTATAATTTAGTAACTGGAATTTAGGGATTACGTTATGTCATATATAAAAATAATTTAGTTCATTTGATTTCACATTTTATCGTGAGGAAATTTGCGGGTGTACTAAAATTTACCAATAAATTTTATTTTGACGATTAAGTAATGGATGACAGACGTATTGTCGTTAAGCCAATTTTTTCTTATGAATCGAACTTTAAATAGCAACATCTATTTTTTTGTAGAGGTGTGGTCGGTAAAGTGGTGCAGTGGGTGTGTTAAACCTAGAATCGATTCTTGGGATCGGAATCACTTGCCTCCCAATTGTCAGCAACGGTTGCTAAGGAACGATCCCAATTGGAGGCTCTGATTTCTTCGTCTTTCTCTGTTCTCTTGTCCGATATCTTTATCCGCTTTGGAAATTTTGACCCCGTTAGTATATATGTATCTATACCTAATTGACTTTATTGTTTTTAATTTTTAATTTTTTAGCATACCGAAAAAATAAATTAAAAGATCTAGAGAACCGTATTACTGCAAAGCAGTTCAAAATTTTATTTTTTGTTATATGTACTTAGTCATTCGCACAGCGTTCATTAATACGAAGAAAATCATACATCTAAAACTAAATCAAGGATAGAATTTTAAATTCTTTTTTCAACTTGCTAAACATCACATTTGTTACGTTAAAAATACTGTTTACCTCGATATATGCCACTGGCGGATTTAGGAAGGGTGGGAGCATTCAGGCTAAAGCCTCTCAAAATAGTAAAATAACTTTATTTTTTTTCATTGGTTCTTATCTGTTTATGTGAGCGATCATAGCCAAGTACGTAAATAAGTATGACATTTCTATTCTTTTCAGATTGCAAAGTATACGAAATATAGGCATATGTAAAGAAAAAAATTATCCCTGAAAGCATTATTTATTGTTCCTGCAATTCCATTTTTGAAGTGAAAATTTCTATGGGCGCGTTTTCACTTTTTTTGTGGAGAGTGAATTAGATTAGCCGTCAGATGTTAAGCTCGAGTAAAGTCGGCTGGAGTCGATTTATTGAAGGGGTTTTGCGTATGGATTAAAATATCTCAGACACTAAAAATCGGACCTGCATACCGCAAGCGAGTGAAATGTTCAGCATTTCATCCTCTTAATAATTGGCTATTATTCAAAATTTTATCTTAACGCGACGCCGTGTTAGAGAGGCGAAAAGGAAAAAATTAGTGTCGAAAATCAAAGGATGACAAGTTTTATTGAAGATATGGATTAATATATCTCAGACACAAAACTTGGACCTGCATACTGAAAGCGATGGAAATTGTCAGCATTTTATTCCCTTTATAATGAGCTATTATTTATAATTTATATTTCATATTATTAACCTTGCCTTAATGATGTTTTCACTTCTATCGTGTGGTCTGACGCACACATCTTATTTATTTTTTCTTTTCAAGTACCCTTCAAGGATCACTTAAAGATTATTTTATGGATCTTTAGATAGTTTCTGTATTTTTATTCCAGAGTTAAGGTGCGTCATTTATCTTACCAGGGGACAGACACATATATAAATAGCGATTTCACTTCTCTTACAAAAAAAACAATAATTATTTCACTTCAAATGTCTAAACGCAACTTTATATAAATAAATAAAGTAATATAAAAGTAAGCCTCCAAAATTAAATCCTGGATACGCTACAGAAGTATGCCATTAAAAATTGTTGCCAAGAAAGAGAACATAAAAGTGCGTTTAGACATTTCACAAACTATGTGAAACGCAAATATTTAAATGTTTTTTTTTTTCCTATGCTAATTTTTTTGATGTTCTCACTCTGCTGAATTTATTTTTCTTTGTCGAAAAAGATCCGATCTAGGAATAATTAGGAAGTAGTCCTGTCAGGAATTAAATTATCGGAACAGCGTAATAGGATATTTGGGTTAAAATTAATAAAGAAAGATGAAGAGAATATGCCTCGTGGTATCCAACGTACAACATAGGATAGTATATACGAATTATGGGACTTTCTTACCGAAAGAAGTACGCTTGATCTGTTGATCTAATCCTGCGTAATTATTTTGAATAAATTTTGAATATATTATTTTATGTGATAAAAAAAAAATTATGTGATATAGTTATTTTTTTTGTTTATATTTAACTTACACAGCTTCTACGACAACAGCTACACCAGCAGGTTCTACAGCTTTAGTCACTGCCAGAGCGATTTGCTTTGTTAGCCTCTCTTGAACTAAAAAAAAAAAGTACATTATAAATGATACTTATGGTAATACAATGCATATAATAACTTAAACGTGCATAATATCATATTCAAAGAAAAGAAATTTCTTAACCAACTATACAAATCTGGTCCAATAACTGACTAAATTTTAAACAATCGTTATTTAAATTTCATTTAGTTGGAAATAGAGGAGTATTAAATTGCATTTTCCAGAGTTTAACCATTTTTTTTTTGTTATCTCACTTTTCTTAATTATTTTTTTATAATATATTTTTTCTATTAGTAATTATTCTTTTCCTTTTCCCTTATTTTAATCTTGCTTCCTCATTACCGAAGCAGAGAAGGTGTTTATTTATGCAGAAAGTACAAATTTAAAAGGGTATAATACAAATTTTCAATGTTTGAATGGTTTGGAATCTAGATGATCCATATTAATTTCGTTTAAGTCTATCTACTACTTTCACTTAAGCCGAAGAAAACATATTCTCCTTGACACAGTTATATTCCAAAAACGGCTATTCCTATATGGCTCAAAGTTGGAGGATAGTTGGGGGTCTAATAGCGCAAAGGTGGTCTATTACCATTATGATGAAATTTCACCTTCTACCAAGCAAATGCATGTATTTTCCTTGATGTTTAAATTTATAGAAACGAAATTTCAAGATTTTAAAGGTTTTGCTAGTTTGTACAAAAAATAATTGTATCATGTTTTCTTTGATTTGTATCGTCATTGCTGTTATATGATGAAGTAAATTTAATCGCCTTTTGCAATTTCTCTTATGATTCAATTATAAATGTTTTGTTAAATGAAGATAAAATTATTTCATTAATAACAAGGTGAATCTTGAATTTTCGCATAGGTAATCACCATTTTTTGCAGTCAGGCATGGGGTTAGGTAGTGATCAAACCAATAGTCACATTTTCTCATTTGCATTTTTCTAAGAGACGATGTACATAAAAATCGATAATTTTTTTTTTTGTGATAATTTTTTTTTTGAAGTACCGATCAATTTAATCATAAAATTAAATCTAAACATCGGAGCGTTAATGAAAAACAAGAAGGAATCCTTATCTTTAATTTGATAGTTAAAGGTTGTTTTAGCGATTATAAAGTGTGAAATAAAAAAATCTGGTGCGCGCAACACACAACTTTCACTTACCGCTCTACTTTGAATAGAAATTATTGTCTGGCAATGTTGGGCTGTTATAAAATTTTTGAAGTGCATTTCAAATGGAGATAAGGCTTAAAGCTTACAGATAACAAATCATTAAGACCATTATAATTACAAAAATTCCTTTTATTATATCGACGGTAGGCAATAATAATAATTTCTGTTGATTTATGACATTAAACGTTTCTGAATAGTTAATTTAATTTTATGGGTTCCAGGATCCTGGTTATATTTCCGTATCGAGGACCTGCTGGAGAAGTCGGCTGAAATTACATGAAGCCAGGCCCTAAGAGGATTTGTACTATCTAATAAGATAAGTGTTCAATTACTTTTAAGCGTATCCGATTCTTCTTACCCTGGCGAAACATGATATTTAACCACAAGTATAGTGGTTTGAATAGTTAATCTTAATTTTTGAATCAAAATATTGTTTCGTTGTTTTTTATTTTATTTTTTTTTTCAAAAGTTGTCATACCAATTTGTTACCCAAATGCGACTTCCAATGTTTTACATACATTCGAATTATAAAAAAAAAATCCGTTGGGACTATTACAATTAAATTTTCAAACCTAACATTGAGATATAAGATATATGCTATTTTCAAGAAAATATAAATAACTCATGAATATTTATTGAGTACTCGGAGTACTTATTGAGTACACGAATATTTGAGTACATTGAGTAAAAATTCGAAACTAAGCTTTAATTTAATTTAATTATGTAATAAAGGATGTAACATTTACAGACTTTAGAAATATTAGGTCTATAATAGTGATTCAAAAGAATTAAACATCAGTTTGGATGAACTGGTCATTTACGTCATACTTTTCAATTATTTCTAAAGTAAAAATTAACAATGATTTTTTAATTTAACTTACCTACGCGTGAAATATAAGGGGGGGGAGGAAATCGTGAAAATTTCGAATTCAAGTTTTCAATGAAATCATACCTTTTCAGTTACCCCGGGTAAATATTGGCTTACTCGAAGTGCCTCTTTATATCACTGGTTTTACACATTTTTGAAAATTTTATTTTTAAATCTCACTGTGCAGTTTTAAAAAAGTATTAAATTTATTGCGATTTTTCAATCCATTAGCTAAAATCCCAAACTGCGTCATATACTTAAATGCGGCCTGAGGTTGGCCTAGAGAGAACCCTTGTTGATACTGGCTACCAATCAATCTGCCCAATCTGAGTTTATTTTCCAAGTCGGATTATTATTAATATATTCCCCACCAGAAGAGCGGATATTTTCTGGGAAAATTGGATATTCTTAAGGTCAAAGCAATGTGTAAATCAAGGAGACTACATTAATAAAGTTGTCAAAATTAAATAATTAAATAATCACTACGAGTGATGCTAGTATATCTTATTTTTAAAAATAAAAATTATTATTTCTGATTAAAAGTAATTGAATAGTTACCTTGGAGTCGTCGGCTGTAAATTTCGACAATCCTGGAAAAAGACAAAATAATTAAATCAATAAAAATAAAAGTTTTTGTAGAAATAAATAAAAACAGATATTATAACCTGCCTACATATTAGGTGGGTGTATTAATGCAAAAAAAAAAAAAGAAACAATAGATAAGTGTTATAAATGATAGTAATTAATGTTTTGATAAAAATATATGATAATAAAAAGTAGTAATTTTTTTTTTCAAATTTACGTTCTTAATTTTAAGGATAAAACCTTCACTACTATAAACTTAAAATAATGCGCCTTACCTTGCTAGTTTGCTAAGGCCTAAGATCTTCTTATTGGGTAAATATGCTATAGAGACTTTCCCATAAAACGGGACGAGGTGATGTTCACACATAGAAAACATCTCAATGTCTTTGACGAGAACCATTTCGTCGTGGTCTTCATCGAAAACTGCGTCATTGAGCACATCTGAAACAAAATTTGAGTTCTTATTAATTACCTTTAAACTACAACCAAATAATTCTTAAAATAATCACAAATCTCAAGTTAAAATAAAAATAATTGTTGCTAAACTGCAGATAGCGATAATAAAAAAAATCTATCTGTCAAATAGGAACACTGCGTTGTAAAAATATTATTTTAAATTTGTGGTTTTTTTTTTTTTACATGAATTGTAGTTGATAGTTTCAAGATTCTTTCGGATGCTTTATTCCAAGCTATTGGATCAGTATCAGAAAGACTGAGTTCTGCAAAAGAAACACTGCTTTGAGTTTTTGTCCTTCGTTAAATCAATCAATGATTTACAAACTTGGGTCGAAATGTCATAATCTTTAACATAAATTATGACTGGAAATCCTGATTATTCATGATCCAAATTAAATGTTCTGCTTTATTTCACTTCAATATTCATCGCTTGTGATCATTAGTGATCGTTGGTTTACTCTAATGCTGGTATATTAATTTACAATTGAGATAAAAGGTTCTGTTTGTTTACAACTTCATGAATAATTATTTGTATACCTAATATAAACCTCGCGTATAAGGAGCGTCCCACGGGTGGCGTATGTGGGGATGGTCGGTGGAAATTCCTTGGAAGTTCCTCCCGGCTAAATCCGATGGACTCGCTGACAGAGGCCCTCCAGATTTGCTGGAGGCAGAGGCCCACCAGACTTGCTGGAGGGTGTGACGTAGGATTGATCGCTCTACTCACATATCTTTGGTTTACCATACACATACAAATAGTCGTGGATCTCCCTAAGGTAAAACGCTCATTAGCCGTTGGTAAACTAGTCCCTCGTTCGGGTCTCCGGGTGGGGACTGCTTTAGGAGATTAATGGCGCAAGTTGAAAAATAGGGATTTGAATATTGGTACGTGGAACCTAAGGAGTTTAAACATAACAGAGGGGTTAAAATCGGTCGCGAATGAGATTAATGTGTAAAATTTGGGTGTAGTGGCTCTGCAAGAGGTTCGCTGGTCAGAGGATGGCTCTATTAGCGAAAAAAAATAAACTATTTGGTACGGAGGGAGCGGGAATCATTGTTTAGGTACCGGGTTTCTAATTAGGAATAGATTTCTCTCCGCTTTGAGGGACGTACAATTCTTTAGTGACAGAATTTCGGTAACGATATTTCAGGGGCGTTGGTTTAAAATCGCGTTCATAAACATACATTGTACAAACGAAGAGAGTGACGATGAAGTCAAATGAGAATTTTGCGATAAACTCGAATGGGTTAAGCATAAGGATATTTATAAATGTATCTGGACATCACCGGATTCACAAACACGAAATCAAATCGATCATGTCTTGATACAACATATCTGGCAAAGCAGTATAATTAATGTGCGTTTGTATCGCGGAGCAGAATGTGGGTCGGATCATAAATTAGTAATCGCAAAACTTCGACAAAAACAATATAAAAAAGAGAAAAGAAAGCAGTTTTAATTTCGAGAATTTTAATTTAGAACAATTAAAAAATCTATCAATTAGAACTAGATGTTAAGAATAGGTTTGAAGCTTTAGAACCTTCTGACGAGGACCGCGAGGATATTGACAAGTCATGGGTAGAGATCAGGGATAATATTAAAGCAGTCGGTAACTCGTGTCAAGGAAAAAAGGAAAATAAGAATAACAAACCGTGTTTTGATGAAGATTGCTTAAACATGTGACAAAAAAGAAAAGCCGCTAAATTAAAAGCTCTAAATAATTCTAGCGAAAACATATAATAATCTAGAATATTTCTGAACCTCAAAGAATGAAACCACAAAATTGTTCAAAAATAAAAAAAGGGAGTATCTTAAAAATAAAATAATTGAAATAGAAACTAATATAATTGAAAATAACGTAAGATTCATGTACAAAGGTATAAACGAATCACGAAAATATTTAGGGTCCGTCGCTTCTGGAATTAGGGATGAAAATAACAATATTCTGACCGATCTGGTAGATATATTAAATAAGTTTAAGAGCCACTTTGCCAGTATTCAGATACGGGAAATTATGATCTGTGTCCTCCTTCTGAGTATCAGAGTGCGGAACCTTTAATAGAAGAACCGAGTAAAGAGAAAGTTGAAGTAGCTATCGGAAAATTAAAATCTTATAAAGCAGCGGGATCCGATAATATTCCTACTGAACTAATTAAGACATGAGGGGAAGCTGGAGTTTCTAAAATACATTTATTGGTTAAAAAATCTGGGATGATGAGAAACGACTTGAAAAATGGAAAGAATCAATTCACCAGCTGTATATCAATTTTAAAAAGGCTTACGATTCTATTGACAGCCAGAAACTGAATAATGTTCTAATCGAGCTGGGGATTCCAAAAAAAAAATAGTAAATCTACATAGGATTGGCTTGACGGAGACACTCAATAAAGTTATAGTCGGTAATAATTTATCCGAAAAGTTTGAGGTTCGTTCAGGTTTAAAACAGGTTGATTCCCTTTGGCCTATCCTGTTCAATTTGGCATTTGAACTTACCATTAGGGAGGTGATGCATACCGAAAAAGGGTTGGATCTGTGTGGAACAACACCCGTGCTTGGCTATGCGGATGATCTGCCCCTGTTAAGCGAAGCCACGGAAACTATAAAACTAAATACGACAACGTTAATGAAAGCCGGTAAAGAACTAGAGCTCGAAATAAACACGGCTAAGGCAAAATATATGGTTAGCTGCAAAAATGGCGATATTGATATATTACTTCCTGGTTGAGAAGGTAACATGTTTGAATAGGTAGAGAAGTTTAAGTATCTAGGGTCTATGATGAAAAAACGAAGTTGAAGAAGAGATTAAGGATAGGCTGAAGGCGGGAAATACTTCTTATTTTTCTATGACAAAACTATTTATCTCGCGCATCTTGTTCCGGAATTTAAAGACTAGAATCTATAAAACCATTATCCTACCTACTGTTCTTTATGGTTGTGAAATGTAGCAGCTTACATTAAGAGATAAGCAACGTCTTAAGGTTTTTGAAAATAATGTATTGCGTAGAATATTCCGAACGAAGATAGATGAGTTAACCGGAGAGTTCAGAAGGTTGCACAACGCCGAGTTGCGTGAACTGTAACCAGTTAATATAATTGAGGTAATTACATCGCGGGGAATCAAATGGGCTTGTAAAATAGTTGGGCTTGGTAACAAAAGAATTCTTAAAATGTTGATATTCGCTTTTTCCGAATGGTAGACGTAGAAGGTGGGATGATTGCGTTAAATCCGAGCTGAAAGGGCTGGGTTTGGACGGCGAACGGTGGAGGGAGGTGTGCAATAAGCGATTGGTGGTGTCGGCTGTTATTATTATACCTAATATAGAAGCTGCTGCAATTTTTGCCAAATTCTTTGTAAATTTGGTGATTCTGAACTTCGTTTCCGAATATTAATAGAACAAACCTGCCCATCGATACATTTAGTATTTATCAAACCAGAATAACTATTGGAGTAGATTTAGTCACTTCCATTTGTTGGATGAACGAGAAAGTTTGGTGGATAAACTAGAAGAAAGGAAAAGAGTAAGTTAGAAGGAGAGCCAATGTAAAATACATGAGCTTTTATCGCACGGTCCTGCGGTATAAATCGTCTCCTCGGTGTATATTATTGCGGTTTATTTCCAGCCTTACCTCTGATCAACAGCTAGAGATTAATAGAATTTAAGATATACCTACGTTGACATAATTATATACGGTTATAAGTTTAATATTAACATTTATTGGAAGATCTCAGAGAAATTCAAGTAAACACATAAAGCATTATCATCAATGGTGAATCCGGGAATGTTCTGGTGGTGGAAGGAGGGGGAGGGTTCACTTGTGAAACAATTTACATTTTATTTATTTTTTGTTTCATCTAGTATTTGGTCATAAAATAGTGGTATGAATTCCTCAATTGGATAATTGACATCTATGACCTTAAAACACGACACTTTTGCATAATTTATTCCAAACATTCAATTATAAAGCAACTACTTAGATATTTCGGCAATAAATGAATTTTCAGTGTGAATATTCAGACTTTTAAATTATTCGTTGTTTTTAGTTCGAAGTATAAATACAAATTATTTGTATTGTACAATTCACTTTACAATTAATTTTTGTTTTGTCCTCATCTTCCTCGCCTTTTAGAGTATACGAGGTTTTCCCGTGCCAGGGTGATATGGAGGGGGATAAATGTCAGAGTCAAAAGCCCTCCCCTGCCTGTCTTGGGACGCAAACTCATAATTATTTTATCCAAATTATCTTTCATTAGATTGCCGAGTAACGCGGTGCTGTGCATACGAGTTAGCCCGCTCAGCCATCCTGCTACCTTTTGAAATTAAAATAATAATAATAATAATAAAATTGCATGTTGCTTAGTAACTTTTCAAGAAATTTTTTTTTTCTCATCTTCCTAGGGAGAGAGAGCACGTCCCCCCTCTAACCCTCGAGTGCACCTCCCCTGGATCCGCTAGTGATAATCATTCTCTACATTTAATGCTTGTTGATTAACTCGAAAGTAATCCTAAAGCTTTGAAACATATATAACATAAATTATAGTATTTTATAATAGGGTATGTCAACAATTTTCTATTTCATTTTAGATTCTTTATTTTTTAAATATATTTCTTTCCTTTGACGTTTCGGGTATTGTTTTCTCAAATTTCACAATAGACATATTTTTCATAAAATTTTGAATTATTTTATCTGAATTCACATCCCAACAAAATAAAACAAATAAATATACAAATTTAATTTTAAACACCATGTCCTTTTGAGTCAATTTCATCTTGCGAATTGGTTTTTAATCTAGAAATTTAAAATATTTTATTTGCAATAAAGCCAATAAAACTTTTACTTTCACTTACCTATATATGTAATATATAGTAAGAAAAGGTATTTCGATCGTGAAAATTTTCGAATCTGATTTTTCAACTCAGAAAACACCTTTTGAGGTCTCCTGAGTACAAATAACCATGTCTCGCAAAATTGCCTGTCAAGCTAA